GGGAGAGGAGGGTCCCAGCAAAAGGGGAGATCTGGGGGGGGGGGGCGGGCGCCATGCTCCCTCCCCCCCCCCCCACCTGTTTACGTGCCTGTCACAAACAAACGCAACACTTCACTGTATATACAGCAGAAGCACTCCTCTCCCACTACCGGTCGTCCCTCAAACTTACGCTTACTGCTGCAATGCTCGCTCTCGCCCTCCCCCCTCCCCTCAAATACCCCATGTAGGCCGCCGGTGTTACGGAAAACCGGCGTCTGCGTGATCGCGGAAAGAGCGCTCTCCGGCGCCCCATCGTTCCTGCTGCATGCACATACCTTCCAGCGACGCAACCCCTTCCTCTCCCTCACCCCTCCGGCAGCCATCGTTCCGAAATACCAACGTAGTCGGGCTGTGCCGACACGCTCCCTCGCCTCCCGAGTCCCGACTGCCGCCGCCCGGGTTCCGTTCTCGAGTGCTCTCCGTGTCTCTACACAACAGCTCGCGTACGTACTTTCGCTTCTTCCACCGCAGGCGCGGTCAAGGGAGCCCCCCCCTTTTTAAAACAGCGTCTCAGCAGAAAAAAATAACAAACAAACACGTCTTTGTGATTGCTTCTAATAGATGTAACCTCTCGCGCAATCGTTCTATACCAAAGCACACATCTCGTCACACACGTCTCCTACATCCATTACATCGAAAGCCAAAAAACCTCTTGCAAAACTTGTACACTACACTGGCTGAAGGCAAATCTCCAACATGCCTTTCTACAACGCAGCTGCTACTGCTGTCAATCGCAACACACTTTGTGTGGGCGTTTGCAATTGTTTTGGTTTCACTCGAGCGCAAAGCTTTTTCGCGTAAAATGCACCGTACGAACACATTCGGTGTTAACAGACATATTTAGTTATGCGTATAGGAGCAAACGCGAGCACTGTGCGTTCGTGTTGCGTGCTACAAGCTGCACATGAGCATTGTCACCATGCACCAATCCAAGACTGCAGTTTGGGCTCCGCGTACTAGCACTGTAAAAAGCGTAACACTAACACTAACACAGAGGGCTTCCGTTCACACGTATACGCAATAATAAAACTCAGAATAGTACTTCCGACAGTCATGGCTGAAAATGAAACATGGGGTGCTATTTTGGTCTCAAACGGTCATGTTCGGGTTTCCTGAAAACTCCTCCCCCCTACGAACCGGGCGCTCCTATTGGCCACTGCGCGCGTGATAATTCCAGCCTGTTCCCATGGGAACGTTCGCGAAACACGAAAGCAACCGTTTGCCGTTACTGTCGCTTTTCGAGTTCGGACCGTGAAGACAATGTAACGTACGATCACGTACGACCCACGCAGCACATAGCGGAAGTCGCCTAACTAGATTAACTGCGGCGACACACTTTATTCTCCGTTTCACCATGAGTGCGAGCTCGTGCGTGTGTAGGAGCTACAAGAACGTGCTCCGGGCTTTGAACGTCCCTGTCGAGCAGACGCGCTTGCGCAGTGCAAGCCAACTTTCGTGCAAGCATCGTTAAGAATGATGTGCTCCTGCTTGTAACTTCTGTTTCAATTGCACGAAGGGGAACAAGCTTTGGGCAGGATTCTAGAGCGTAGAAAATGGCGGCGATGCTTGCCCCGCAACGATGGCTCATCCAACGCGCACAAAGACAGGTTTTCCGCGAGCACCCGGTTGCCTTCGCTACGCACGACGACGGCTTCTGAGGACTATACCGCTTGTTGAAAAGCATTGTGTGATCGCAGTGTGCCCAGGTGCGCGACGAGAGACGGCGACCATGATGACCGTCGAGCAGCAGCCACTAATCGAATCGCGCTTAGATTTTTCGCAACGGGAGCTACAAGGACGCGGTTGCCACCGATGATCACATAGCTAATGCCCAGTCGATGGTGATGATAGCCGTGGCGGCCGTCGAGATTGTCGCTGTCAACCGGCTGAGAAGAGACGGCTGGGTCGACAAAACCCTGGACCGAGACAGCCGAGGAGTGTGCGAAAGAAAACTTTCGTCGCCGCCACGACAAGCACACTGACGTTGTGGGGTGCGTTGACTGAACCTAGGGCCTAACTGAACCTTCGTCACCATCATCGGTCTGAAGGATACCGTCACCATTCTGAAGGCCTTCTATACTTTGCCGCAAACACAACTTTGCCATTAATATCATGGTGGTAAGATGACGTTAAAACTTCAGGGTTTCTACCGCTTCGAAGTTAGTGCACGCTTAGTACCTCTGTCTACACTTGACCATTTGTTGCGGTTTGTAGCTACTTTCAATGACCCATTAAATCTGGATGGGTTGCTGATGGCCTTTCATTGTATCAATTAGATATTTTACCTTTTCACGTCAAGCTTCTAGAGTTGCATGTCAGTCATCTGACAGCCCCAAGAAACACTCTTCGATGCCCTGCAATGAACTTTACGAAGAGGTATCCTAAAATGAATCGTTAGCTGTTTAGACAGCAGGAGTTTAGTCTGCCATAGTATGGCAACATTGTCACCCACTGTAGTCGAGAAATTCAGCCAGTGCAATCCTTTGGATGGTTGTAATCTCCGTGACCAAGAAAAACAATAAAATATATCATTGCCTTACATTCAACACACGTATGTTTAATGTAAAGGTTATGATACCAATTAAATAATTTGTCGTTTCAAAACTGACAGCCACTCTTTAAAATTAAAGAGCATAAATGACAGGTGGAAGCAGAGCAGATGTGGGAAGGAAAGGCGAGCATATGTACTAAAGAAAGAACTGCTTCGGAATGTGAAGAATATCTGCATCTATCTTGCCATTGTGGTACGAGCTCAGTGGCAATGCACATGCTTATGGCAGCCTGTGGATGTAGGATGCTCCCCTTATGGTATCAACCAGCGGCGAAGCCAAGGGTGGGGGGGGGGGGGGGGGGGGTACTTATGGGGCTTCGCCCCACCCCCTCCCCAAATCCGGCGGGCCATAGAACATACACACACATTTTGACATCACGGTTGTGCTGCCACCACGACCGCCAGCGATCGCCCCAACGACAAGAAAACAAACGACCAGTTCATTGCGTTTTTACACCATAGCACCATCTAATTTCCTCTTCTGCTTCTTCTTACACTGCGTTTTACATCATTCACCTTTGTCGTTCGATGAATCAGAAGTCAGCGCTACATAAACCTCAATGAGCTTGTCGTTTGTTTTCTTGCCGTTGGGGCAATCGCTGGCGGTGGTGGCGGCAGCACAATTCTTTCTCAAACCGTTGGCTGCTGCCCCCTTCTTGCAGAAGCGCGTCGGTCGCTTTGTGTCAAGGTGAGGTTTTGAATCTTGACGCATGGCAACGCTGAATGAAGGTCTATTACCGTCTTCATAATCTCAGCAAGGTTGCCGTTACGAGCCACAACAACACCACCCCTTTCAAGCTTCATAACACCTTCACGTATAAAAGCCACGTTTTGCATCTCGCCAAGTGTTATATCGGAGAGGTTGAACACCAGCTCACCATGCTGTTCGACCAGGTCCTGTCGCCGAATGGGCTCATCCAACAGCACGAAAGCATTCGTGTGCGCGTTGATCAAGTGACCGATCGCACGCCAAACCCCACCCGCGGTCGATCCGACGAGCATCGCGAACATGTTTTTTTTTTTCGAGTTTATTTCGGCTGTCGACTTAAAACAATACAAACACTCCCGTGCGTTCTTGTTCTTACGTCATTTTTCCGTCAGAACCCAAACTCAAAAAGCGACTTTTAGCGGCAAACAGAGGCTTTCTAGTTTCATGAACGTTCCCATGGCAAAAAGCGTTGAATACGCCACGCGCAAAGAAGCCAGTGTGATAGCGAGGAACCTATGTAAGTACCTGTAAAAACGTAAAAGTACCTTTTTTTTTTCCACGAGCTTTTGTACAAATAGAAAAGCAAGTAAAAAAGACTGCCCGAGACGCGCCGAAAAAGAAAAAAGAGCACAGCTGATTGGGATTACCGTCGTAATCACTGCAGTGAGCAAAGGGAGAAAGCATTATTAAAACTGCCCGAAGAAACTTTCCTGTACACTATCCACAGCATGTTCACAACCGGTGCACTCTGCGTCGATCTTACGACCTGTCATATATTACAAGAGTGTCGTCGTAACGCTGTATTCATTTGGAGTCTCCTTCACAGGCAAACAGGACATTTCATTTGCAGCTGATGCTCACGGCGGCTTCACAAAGGATGTTGGGTGTAGCGGCGTACCTTGAAATACTATTTTCTTCTCGTAATGCCATCCGTGTCGTGCAGAAGCAGGGAAAGCAACGGCGCAAGCGAGGCACAAACACCACAAGGTCTTTATTGACCTTGTGGTGTTTGTGCCTTGTCTGTTCTCAAGACCTCAATGTGTTGAAAGTCGAAAGATGTTTGTCCTGTCCGTCCTCTTCGTCTGACTCTTTCGTATATTTTTGAACCACAAGGGCCGTTACCGCCGTTTTCGCCATGTTTGTTTTGAAAGACCGTAGCGGAAGACCTCGAGAAAACAAGTTGAGATATCTTAGCTAAATTTACTTTACGTCATAATTTTTGGTATAATTTTTTTGTATTTTATGACAAAATAATAATATTTTTCTTTGTTTCCTTCCATTGTCCGAAAATTAGGCTTTTCTCCGATATTCGCTCGTTCTAACTCCCGGAGGAAAGAAAGACTATAACAAAAAGAACAGGGGGAAATGCGGGAATTTCTGCGCCCCAACTGCGTGGCCACGTCAACGTGACGTAGGGGGATGGCCAGATTCTAGCTGGCCGCGGGCGTGAATTCGAACGTTGGGGCGGAGCCTCAAACAAGAGTCATTGTAGTTTGAGGCTCCGCCCCAACGTTCTAGAGACGCCACTTTGTTGTTTGCGAGCAGGATAGCACCCCAGAGGCTGGTTGTCTGTCGGTAAGGCGCTTTGACGTTTCTCTCCTTGTTTATCCGGCATGCCGTACAGTGGGCTTAGGCATTTTCTGAGCTGCGGTGTGTCGATGCGCGCATGAATCCTATGTCGGCTAAGAGAAAAAAGCTTGCCTTTTTCGACGACGCTGATTGGCCCGCTTCCTCTAACGACGTGGAAATATGGCGCTGCGGTGACAACTTCACAGCCGTACTTTCCTTCGAACTCCTTGGTCACGTTTTCGAGTTGCACGGATGTCGCGCTACTTTGTTGCAGCTGGAAAAAAAAAAAAAAGAGTCACGCAATAGGAAGTTTTAAAACGACCTTGAGGAAGGAAGTCTCCACAGAAAGACCATATTCCCGCGGCAGCTTATGCAGCGGTGATAAGAACATTCTGGTTAGAGGCACATTATTTTTGCACTGAACTAAGGCTCATTTTTTAGCGCAGTATATGTTTTATCAGCCGAATTCTTTGATATGGGCGGCATGAAGAACCGCGACAAAGAGCTCTCACTTCACGTGTCACCATGGCGTCATCAAGACATCCCAGTGGCGTCGTTCATGTCATGGTTACGTTATCGTGAAATCATCACGTCGCTTGACGTCATGATTTCAAGGTAAGTAATACTTTTGCATGACTCTGTGACGTCACGTAACACCATGACGTCGTCTCACACCATGACATCACGTACACAATGAATCCGTGGTTCGTCAAAGTCATGTGACCTCATGACAGAGGGAGTTTGTTAGCATTGCTAACATATTTTACTTGAAAAAACAGTTAGGGCGCAGGCGAGCTGGTGTAAGTTTACCATTTTTCAGTTCAGTATTCAGTTCTCCCTCCAAAAGGAGGGAGAACTGAATAAAGTGGTTAGCTGTGTTTGAGACGTCGTCGTGTTTCTTCCACCCAGTCTCAGGTGGTCAAAAAATGGTAATATTTTACTTGTTTTGGGGGATTCTAGGGAGAGGTATTCAAGTTATCGGAGCATTCCGCCTGCTTCCTCCTCCCCAGCCCCCCTTTCCCTCGCCTTGAAGTGTTAACCTGTCACCGACTATAGTAATGAGATGCTTAACAAGTAAATATTGTCACCTGCTTCTAATTTGTCTTCTCTAATATTAATTTTAAAAAGTGTCAATTTGACACCGCGTACTCATAGTCAGGATTACATTGACAAATTCAATTAGAGCTTTTTCTTTTAATCCTTGTTTTATACGTTTTTTTTAAATAAAATGTTTCGCGATACAAATAATTTACTTTTAAAAACACTCTTTTAAAGAAAAGTTTCGGAAGAGCCCTCGTCCGCTTTTTAATTGTAATACTAAGAACGCGATGTCAACTTATCATCCTCGTAACCTTAATATTGGAGAAGAACAGTAAAAAGCAAGCGCCAATATTTACCCACTTATTATGGTATTGAATAATTAACTTTTGACTATATTCGCTTCCATTAGAACTGCCATTCACTCAAGGAAAATATGGCAAAGTAAATTTATAGTATGCATTTTCAAAGTTTCCCTAATAAAGCTGAATGCTGGGCTAGTTGGTATTGGTCTTGGGTTGCCAAAGGCATGGTACCACTTTTTTGGACGAGGACAAAAAAAAAATAATAATAATGTTTTGTGCTTGGACCAGATGGCCGCTCTAAGACTGGAGCATTAACGTCAGTTTTTAGATGTTTTCTCCTCTTTCTTTTCCTAATCTATTGATATAATTCTAACGCACAGTTATTTCTTAAACGAGACAGGCAAGTTTTTGGCCGGACTGATGCAGTGGGTAGTCATGGGTACAGCGATAACTTTTGTCTCCACTGTCGAGTCGCAGCTTGGCCAATGCAGCATGACCGCCCGAGTGGGTAAACCTTCGTATCGACGCAGGAATCACACGAACACACGCCGTGCGTTACAGTGCTCGTAAACTACTGCCTGTTGTCCTCACCTTGTCAGTTACTATATAAAGGAAATAGCCGCAAAAAAAGAAAGCCTTCCACATGCAAGTGAAGGTTGGATCGTGGTTGGCCTTCACATCTATAAAATTATTTTTATCTGAAAACTCTTTTATTGTTACGCGCGCTGCGCGCATCATCCAGACTGGTGACATCTATCCAAATCCTCTGAATTAACATACGTTCAGATCAGCTCCAGACAACTGGAAGAACTTTCCGCCTGATTGAGTATGTTGGTAGAACTCCACGCCGTTTTTGGTCCACGTGGTTGAGTAGGGGAGTTCTCCCTCCAGGTCATGAGCGCAGCTCAGCCGAACCGCTTCGCCCTCTTCGACTGTCCGTGGTATCTGAACGTCGAGGAGCTTCAGCGACGTCGCAGTCATCAGCGTTCCTGCGTATTTCAATTCATTTCTAATTATTGAATTGGATATATTTGACCTCAGAGGCACATAGCAATGCGTCATAAGAGAATTAAAGCCCAAAATTGGGAGAAGTCATATTATATATACATATATTGAAACAAAAGTTTTAACTAACGATAGTAGTCTGCTCACTTATATATATACGAAAGTGGTGACAATGGAGCTGTCAACACTATACGACATATGAGAACTAAGAAGAATGGACAGTGATTTCACAACTCAACGCATTAACACACGCAACAAACACTATTATTTAAAATACAAAAGTCTTTGAGGAATTAACACTGTAACCAATAAGCTTCCCAGAACTTAGTATAAACAACATCATATCTGTAAAAGGAAAAGTGACAACATTTTACTTCGACTCAGATTAAAAATCGACATACATTTCGCGCTTTCCACTTTTCCTCGCTTCTTTCTTTCCAATATTCTTTCCACCTTTCAACTTGCCTCAACGCCTCAACATAGCTCCCCTCGCAGGTTAGACGATGAGGGCGCTGACGGGATTATCTTCCCTGCAGAAGACGAAGCTTGTATACGTCGGCCTCTAACTACAGACGCGGCCGACTCTACGAGGTAATGGAACCAGTCAAACAGCTTCAAAAGCGCAAGTCTCGAGGCCTTCCCTCTACATGATTGGTCAAGCGTTGATAGAACACGTACAGAAACGTGACGAACACCATAAAGGCGCATTCACACGCTTGCGTTGGGAGCGACCACTATGCTTACGAACGAACGCAACCGCTGCGACTTCAACGACAACGGTGCGCGAAGTGTATACACACATGCAACCACATGCAACCATACGAAGCAACAGCCAATGAGAAACGAGCTTCAGCTCTTGCTCCTAGCCAATAGTAAGCAACCCAGCTACGCTTACAAACATGGCGGACGGTTTCCTGCCCGACGCGGGGTTGGCGGGGTCCTCACCGGAGCAGCCGGAGGTTTCGGCTACGGCGAACAGTCACGAAGATCTGTGGTGCGCCTACAATAGCTGTGTAAAGGCTGGTTCTGACATCTGCAACGAACCCGTTATCCACGACTGCGTCCGTTGTGACCAGAGCGACCGCTCTGCGCCACGCGTACACTCCTGCAACCACTGCAACAAGCGCAGCGGGTCGGCAGAACGGCGACCGCCTCTCCGCCGCCGTCAACTGTTTCAGCGGTGCCTCTAAAAAGAAGGGGACGCGCTGCCACTCACTTGTGTAAAAGAAAATAGACATACCGTCTTCTATGACGTAAATATTTTTTTTTTCGGGATACACTTGCAGGGTAGCGCGTTAAAAAATAAAAGAAACGATGCAGTACGCCGTCCTGCACGATCACGATTTTAATACACAACTTTGCCAACAGTACAAATCTCGCCACACGCCTTTTCTACGATCATAAACGACGATGTAATTTTAGCAGCGATATAGCAACGTAGAAATATAATTTCGTGATCAGATAGACGTTGCAAGCGTTCAGGATTGCTAACACTAATCACCTTTCTCGGGTAATGAAAACGCCTGAAAACTCGCATACTTTATACGGTACGCACCAGTAATACCTTGAACTTGAGCACACGCATGGAATGCACCAAAAAAAGAAATCCGGGCGATGTTCGAGGGCACAAATGCTGAGAAAGCACCACTGCAGTCGAAGTAAACAAACACGACGGCACGGGCGTTTCTGCTGTCTTGAGAGTGCCGCTACGAGATCGCCGCACGAGTAGGTGGATCTTCCCTTCTAGGACGTGCTGGGTTATCATAACGACACACGACGAAAATTCAGTCAAGGATAGCGCTTTTACGGGGAACGATGAGCGTCCACCACGCCGTCCATGTCGACGATCACCACCGATGCCATGTTTGCCAATAGAAGGAGCCTGGCACGACCGGCATGCAATGCGCGCGACCGAGCTCCTCGGCCTGTGATTGGCCTGTCGCTCCCGTCGTTCCCGAACGGAACGAAAAAGTTCAGCCCGGCTCAACTCCTTGTGTTGCGAACGAACACGAACGAAACGACCGTTTGGCGCTTCGTTGCTATGGTAACTCGTCGTTCCAACCGGTTGCATTCGCTCCGAACGCAACTGTGTGAACGGGCCTTAATGGTGAACTTTTGATGCCACCTGTCTTATTGGTACCATCCGCTCGTAGCGGAGGCTGTGTAGTCGTGTATGAATAGGGGGAGTGGGAAAACGTAAACAAGTTCGTTCGTGTTATAATGGGTTCGACTTTGCACAAATGATCAACCCTGGCGGATGTGAACCGAGCAATTGTGAAGTTGTTCGTTTTTAGAAGTGATACGGTTTTATATACTTTCACAAAAGAAAACACCTGCGAACATTTGTTTTACGCGCGAGCCAAAGTGCAACACGTCGTTTTTGGGCCGTGTTCGAGCTGCTAAGGTTGGTTTACACATCTGCATATGAGTGGGATCAAGTGCATTGCTCGCAGCCGCTTACGGCGAGAGAGAACACACACTACCCCACTGGCGCTATCTTCAAAGTTGTCCTGGAACCATGGAGGTCGGAAGTTTTTGGAGGCGACATGACGCCATCAGAAGTGAATCCGGGGGAGACTTCCGGTTCGGAGGGACACAACCCCAACGATGGCCGGACAGGAACAAAGAAGACTCTATTGGACGGAAAGGACAGCTGATTTAGCACCGAAAGCTCTTTTGGTCACCCTTGAGGGCATTTCCACCGACTGGAACCTCTACTTCCGGTTTCACGTTGGAGTCGCTCGTTTGGCTGGCTTGAGCCGGTATGTCGCCTCCTGTTCTTTCTACATCCATGCCTCAAACACTTCCGACATGGATATAACGAGACTGAAGGTTTTGTCATACCTACGCCTTCAAATCTAGGTACGATTTATGGGAAATGGTTGCTCATAACCGTCTCTAAAAATTTTAATCTCACGGTACAAAAATGGTGCTCAAAAATTTAAAGAAAATATTTACACAAATTTGAATTGTTCCAGGGCTACATAGTAGGCGACGCCAGTGTCCTAATGTGTTGTCTAAGCGCTTACAAGTGGGCAGAGCACACTCGGCCGCACTCAAACGGGATTGTGTGAACCCGAAACCGTTTCACACTTGGGTAACACTGTGGCGACATCGCCACAACCTGCTCGTCACGATGGGCTCAACTTGTTGCTTGTTCGCTTCGTTGCCCCGATAATCCTGTCATATTAGAGACTCATCGTGGACTGTGTTTCCTCCTCTGCTAAGCCCACCGCAACGAAGAGTGTGGGGAATTTTACGTGTCCCCCTCGAGCCCTCGGGCCTGTGGTTCCTCGTGCCTGTGCCGCTCGAGCGGATTCCGCGTTCTGTACCACTTTCTTTTCCTCTTTCGTTAATAGATCAGTTGTGAGTGTGCGCTTGTCGGTCGTCTACGTGTTCTTCCTCTTTGTCCTTGTCCTTGTGTGCGCAACTGTAACTATGTTAAAAAACAAAACAAAAAAACACTGCAACTGTGCGCCGATGGCCTTAACAGTGGAGTTCCGAGGATCGTAGAGGGTTGCGGAGAGCGTTGCAGATCGGCGAAAACGATTTACGAAAACTTTTTAATGCGGAAACGTTGACGCAGTTAGGAAGACAGCGGCAATGTTGCCTTAGTTTGAAAGCTTTCGATAATGTAAACTGCACTATCTATGTGCTAAACAACGCGTGTTGCCATGGGCTGTGTATTCGAAAAAAGCCTGTGGGGTAAGTCAACAGGCGAGGATTGGCGTTCTGGTTGGCGCGTTTTCGTGGACGCCACGTCGCCAGGTGTCGAGAGGGAGAGGGACGAGGGGGCCCGAGGTTTAGGTAAACACGCCTCCGGGATTCGTTCGCTAGCCTTTAGCCAGTTCCCAGATTCGCTTACACTTTTCGGGTAAGCATATCTGGGAGTCGTCCTGTATTCATGCAACCTCATGGTTGAAGAATACTTTTCCTGGATTGTGTGCATCCTTCTGAGAAGATGCTCGGCAGGGTGTCGAACCGGAACCGAACCGAACCGAAAACCGGAACAGAACCGTTATTTTTAGCCAAACCGGAACTGAACCGAACCGAAATCTTTGCCGCCATCTTGGAACTGAACCGGAACCGAACCGAAAAAAAATATAACGGTAACCGGTTCAAAACGGTTCAAGGTAATATTTCTTTTTTGTCTCTTCTGTTAGTATTACAAAATGAACATATGTGAATAAAAAATTGGCGGCTGTATTTCTATCTATGGATCAAATCGTCATATACAGAACTGAAAAGTATGGTAAGTTGTGGGCTTTCATGACACTAGGATTAACCATGTGTCACGTTGTCACGTGACGCCATGGTGTCAATACATGTTATCACGTGACCTCGTGACGTCACGTGACTCACTGCGTCAACTCGATTTCATTTGAGAAAGTCACTATATTTATTAACATTGTTGACAGCATGACGTAACATGACATCACGATTTCGCAACGAGAGTCACGTCACACCGTGACGTAAGCGATTTTCATAACCCCTAGTCGATCGCTCTGGTTCATGAAAATCAGCACCGCCAAACATTCGGGTTACGGCTCATGTCAATTACTAATGATAATAGCCCAACCCTGACCATATCTGAAGCTCGGCCCAAGCTTTTGCTTTCCAAACCCTAGCCGCCTAGAGCATGACTGTGATCAACACTGGCGGTAGAGGAGATATCGACAGCTGTCTCTTTCTTTTATTTTTTCTGCATCCGCTATTAGGGGAAAACTAATGGATGTTTCCTCAAGCTATCAACGGTGGGGTTTATTGCTTAACGCTATTTATTGAAAGTATAAGAAAAAATGTTGCAAGACCCATTTTACACTATTGAGGCACCCAAATATTTTTTTCGTTGTTGCTGAACTGCATCCGAAAGACGTCCCTGAGAATAGAAGTACTGGAATTACTAAATACGACTTATTAATATGACGTTACATAGAACTAAACGTTTGTACGGAAAGAATTAAAAAAATAGGATATTTTAGTG